GGGGGGGAAGAGGGAGGCCGATCATGAGACAAGACTGGATCTCCCCGATGCTGTCTAAAAAAGCGCTGAAGGAGTCAGCAGAGCGAGAGAGTGCAGTTTGATGTTAGCATGTGTGATAAATCTGAGAATTGAATTGTGGAGATTAAATAATGTTCATCTTCTTTCTATGGCTGTGATTGGGAGATTTTGCCATCCACTAATTCTTAACTTTGGCGTTTGTAGCAAGTCCAAGTCTTTACCCTTTTGAAGCACAGACTTGAACAAGCGAAAATTACAACCATAAACAAATGGATGCAGAAGAATGCACTTGCATAATTCTTAGTATGAGGATTGATGTTGCGCAACGCCGCATGGCACGTAAAATGAGTACGCGGGGGAAGGAGGGTCTACACAATAGATCTGCAGCATGAAGACTCTAGAGCAGCCGCTGTTTGCTGGTTGTCACGCCGCTTCCCTCAGATTGCAGGCGTGAGACGCCAGAGGGTCTTTCATCCAGGCTCCAAAACAACTCCGCAAGACTTTGGACAACATCATCGCTTTGCGCGCAAACGCTTTGCTAATGGCATGGGGGTTCACCACGGACTGTTTGCTATTTGTAGTTTGTCACGCGCGGGCCTGCCTTTAGCAGCCTTGCAGGCTTCAAATTGATCAGCTCACAGATGACGGCGACGAGACCACCTTCCGACAAGACTTGTCAGGATACAATGATCAGGATCTGGTTGAGGCGCTTCGTGGCAAATGTGTCCTTTGGAAAGGTCCTCTTCTTTTGTTTTGTTGTGTTTCTTGCAACTTCATTGCCATCGCAGGCGTTTACTTTGGACCCTGACTTTGATTACGACAACGCAGAAGGATTGTCCAGCAGAGTCGAGCCCCACGTCAGTCCGGTTCCAAAGAGATCGTGGATAGAAGGCCAGTCGAATGGCCCCACTCCCGGGCCGCGGACGCCCTGATTGAAAATGTCTAGGCACGAGTTCCATTGAATTCACATGTAGGCTGGTTAAGTTGCTGGCCATTACATGTTTATTTGAATTCTGTTGTGCTTATGGTCTCATTGTCGACAAAAGCATCACAATCGCTTGCCCTCACACTGCACAATTTCTATCATCCAGGGTATTTACTCGGGCTACTGCCACTTGAAATTGCCATTGCACTTGCTGCTTCATTTTGCACAGGGCTGGCACTTGCAAAGTTGTTCCTTTTTGCAAACCATTGCAGCTACTGATCAGCCGCCTTAGACGCAGCCAAATTCAGTCAATTCAGCTCAGGCCAAACATTCTGCTCTGCGTTTGCTCGTCTAGACCACGAATCTGAATCCGAAGATGCTGAGGATGCTGTGGCAGAGCCATAGAGGGCCTCGAGGTGTGATGTGTTTAGTAGTTCTTGCCCATGCAACGCTCGAGGTTGCACAAAAACAAAAGGGCATATGGCATAAGGCCAATAGGGCCCATTCTCTCTTTGGCAAGAGAAGCTGTGTGCTGCTATTTGCTGACGCATGTAATCAAAGAAAACCGGGCTGCTTGAGCCGTGGCCGTGTCAATGTCGCGCCACATAAGCACATGTTTTCTGGCTCAGAGCAAATGGATTCGTGTGGATTCACGCAATGAGATATTGTCAGAGTTACATGTATTGACTTGCAGGGACTGCAAACGTGCTGGGCTGCTGATGAGGTGATTCCATGTACAGTACAAGCCTGAAGTGCTTGACCATGGGCAATCATGACCTGAGTTAATTCAATTCCGTGAATTGCACGAATTTGGGTACAAAAGTCATTCAAAAATACTCAAAACGTGCGGAGGCCATTACTTATTACTGCACCTGGCTTACAATGACGTAGGCCTAGGGAGACAACGTTCGAAAGATGTTGCACTAGCTTGGGCTTCTTGAAACTTCAAGAATTACACATCTATGCTTTGCAGGTTTTTGTCTTGAAAAGTCTTTTCGCAAATACAAGGCAAGCATGCACAGCCCGAATCGGGTCAAGACCCTTTGTAGTAACATATCCTTTGACGCTGGGTGTTTCTTTGTAAACAATGCTCGATAGTTTTTGGAAGGACTTGTTTTTATGTCCACTTGAAGAGTTTCTGGGCAAATGATTTCTTGCTAATTGTAATTAAGCCTTTGCATGCGTCTTTTTAGCGCTTCATCTTGCTACTTGGGCATTTACATGTCGTTCTATCGGTGCATAGGAGTGCCTTCTTCGAACCGCGCCAGTATGTGTCAAATACATTTTATACTAATGTTTGTGAAGAATTCAGGCACCGTCAAAGAACAGTTTAGTAAGAAGCTTCCAACTTGCCGACTTGCGAATAGGATGCCGGCATGGTTGGTTTAGGTTTGTGCCTCTGACAGCAGGATGTTCTGATGTCGAAGTTCTTAATCATATCTGATGCAAACAATTCAGGTTCGACCCTTCCAAGCACCTTTGATGTGGGACGGTGCTGTGATCAGGATGTCATCACCAACATAGGTCATGACGAGACCTTTTGTTCTTCTTCATCTTCCTGATCAACAATGCGCCACAAGTTGGGTTCAGAATCCAGTGGCACCAACTTCATCATTCTTTCTTTCTTTTCTTCCTCGAGGCCGATGACGAAGGTCTGCATCATCTTGTCTCGATGTTCACCCCACAGCCAAGGTGACCTTCTGAGGCCGTAAACAGCTTTCTGTGGTTGGTAGTAGGTGTCCTTTTCCAAAAACCCTCGGGAGCACCCGAAGGACTTGATCTTCATCCTGCTGGATCTGGGCGTTCAGAAATGCAGTTTTCACATCAATGCTGCAGGCATCCCATTGGAACTTGGCGGACACCAAAACCATGATGCGAAGAGCTGCAGCATCAGCACCTGACGAGTAGTTTTCTTCATCAGGCTGGCGGCTTTCAAAGTCGCCGCAAACAACCCACCTCACCTTTTTCTTTCCGCCATTCTTTCCTGGCTTTCTTGTGAACACCAGTTTGGATGGTATCAGTTCCACCCTCATGCCCTGCTCACGAGCTTCAGCGATGATTCTTTCTACCTCTCTTTTGTGATGAGCGAAAACACCAACTGATCCACTGAGATGCCACCTCTGTTGGCAACACGATCCGGGTTTGGAGCACTTCCTCTTCTTCTTCATCATGGTCCTCAATCATCTTTCGAAGTCTTCCCAGGATTGTGATGGAGTAGGCAGCCAAATTCGGTGGGTCATATATGGTCTTCAGCATTTCATCTTCGATCACCTTTTTGATCTTTGCTTTGTTCTTCCTTTTCCTTTCTTCTTCAGGATCACTTCCTGGCTTTTCCATTCTTTTGATAGTGGTCTTCTCCCTCAGCCTTCGTCGCAGGGTGAGGCCATCCAATAGCTCCCTTTCCAAAGCAATCCAGTGAACTTCGGACGTTTCATTGACAGGCTTTAGGATACACCTGGTCAAATGAGGGATTTCACCTTCTTTCATCACCCAGTGGCCATGGTTCTCAACTGAAGGGCCAAGGTAGTGAATAGTTTTCCATAGTTGGCTCAACATCTTCTCTTTGCCATCTCCTTTTTCTCACGTGGGAAATCAGGCTTCTTGTACAGGATGACATCGGAGGACCTCATTCACGCATCTGCAAGCCCATGGCCACATCTTTGAGCCCTGACCCCCATGGTATAGCGCTTTTCTGATCATCGTTTTGACTCTTTTGACAGTGGCTTTGGCTCGTCCATTTGACTCGCAGCATGTCTTGGTCAACATGATGCCGCGAGATCGGCGCCAAGTAGTGAAGTGGCCAGCGAATTCATGTCCCTGGTCTGTGTGGATGTGGTTGACATGGTAACCATCCATCCTCAACGGCCGGAATTTTGTGACCCTGGACTCAACCCATCCGGGTGGTTCACTTCTTCCTGAGGTGAGCTTCTTTCCTTCAATTTGCGGGTATTCTTCTTCATCTTCACTTTTTTCTTCTGTTTCTTCCTCCTCCTCTTTTTTGTAGCCCTTTGGAATGGCCCAAGTGAAGGACGCTGCAAGGAAGTAGCGTGAAAGGTGCCCACCTTGGTCCATGGCCGGATGAAGAGGACCTGCCGTGTCCAAAGACAGCGCTCCAGCGAGTGGATGCGAAAACCGCTTGCGTGGATTGCACTGTTGGCGGTCCTGTTGACAGACTCGGCAATCCCTTCTCGAAGGTGTGTGACCAAAAGCAATGCGCTCTTCCCACGACAAGGCCTTGACCTGAGGCTTCTGGAAGTAGACTTGGGCGAGGGCTGCATTTGCAACCACGTTCATGACTCCTGGCGGCCAACGCGCCAACTGCCATGAAAACTCAACTTTTTCTTCTCACCACATGACTTCATTTGGTAGTTTTCCGGATAAAGCTTCAGGCTGCCACGAAGGTTGTCGGCTTTGTAGCTGCTCCACCAAGAGGTCTCTGGGAGAACGTTGTTTCCGACCAACCAAACTCCTCTTTCAGCGAGCTCCACTCTTTGGTGACCCAAAACGACACGACCTGTGGCATGTAGTCTTCGGGCGACGCCGGTTGCTCCAAGGAAAACATGAAGTCCCCAGGAATCCTCGCCGCTTCCCTCAGGTTCTTCACCAACATGACGAGGACACCATCCTCCACAACAAGATGTCATCTTCCATCACCTTCTTCTTTTCTTCATCGGTGGCCTCCTCCACTCCGAATTCCTCACCATTCCACCTCCGAACGGCGTTCACCCCCTCAATGGGGTAGTGGCGGAGGACCGATCGTGTCCTGCAGTTGGGACCACCAAACAGGGCCTTGAGCTTGTCTTCAAGGACTGCAGTAATCAGCCCTGCATAGATTCCGGTTGAGGAGAGCATGTCGTGGTCTTCACCACGGAGCACACCCACCTCCATCAAATCATCTTCAGTTCCTCCTGCTTGTTTCCACGCTCGACCCATCGTGAATCCTTCATCTGGGCCAGCATACAGGTGCGCGACAAAGCCATCACACGTCATCTTCTTTCTTTTTCTTCGGCTTCCAGGCAAGGTGTTCCAAGGTCCTGGTTTGATGACCAATGCATTGCGGACCAGTTGTTTCATCCATTGGAGCTCTTGTTCATATTCTTCCACTTCTTTCAGATTCATTCCTTTCTTCTTCACCTCCAGTTCATCGATGAGCTGCAAAGCCAGCTTTCGTGGCAACTGGGGGCATCCATCACGATCTTCGACAAGGGAGACGACCAAGAGCAGGGTGTTCCACCTGCAACTGACCCTTTTCCCACCGGACGGAACAGTTCAAGGTCTCTGCGAGTTGACCCATTGGGATGATCGGCTCGATGCCGGAGTCATAGGAAACCATTGCTCCTTCTGGGGTCATTGAAAGCCGTGTGACTTGGCCATCGGCAACCCGTTCATACGATCCAACATCTTCCCCTTTTCTTCTTTTGGGATGCCGTAGTGGATGAGTTGCACCACTATCCAACAGACCATCTTTCTCCCCCTTCTTCATGCGTTTCAACCGAAATGGTTTTTGCTTGAGGGAGTTGAGCTGTTGCTGCAATCTTTCCACCACCTCATGTCTTTCATCATCACCTTTCACTGAGGTCGATGCCGTGGACGACGAAGACGAGTTCATGCTCCTGAGCATATCGTTGGCTTCTTTGGGGAGATCTTTGACGGAGGGGAGTTCTTCTTCAGTTCCACCTCCTTCAGTCTTCTCCTTTTCTTTTCCAGCCTTCGAAATCTTTGGCTTCGATTGGCTTCCTCCTTTGTTTTCCTTAGGTCGAGAGCAGGTTGTGGCCATGTGATCTGTGGCTCCATCGACGACAGTCATCCTTCAAGTCCTGGTGAGAGTAGGAGCAGTTCTTTCCACGGCGGCAACCCTGGTCCGTCAAGAAAAACCGACGCTTGCCCCTTTCCTTTTCCTTCTCTCCAAACTGCTTTCTTTCATTTCCTTCTTTCTTTGAGCTTCCTTGAGCATCTTCAAACTTCTTCAACTTTGGGGCTTCCCTTCCACCTCCTATTGCTTCTTTCATCTTCGTTCGGTGGCCCAGTTGTTCAAGTTCTGCAAGGACATGTTCACTGTAATACTTGGTGATGAATTCATGGGTTGGAATTGAATCCAGCAACAGCGAACTCCGAACCAACTGCAACCGGAAGTGGAGTTCAGGGTGTGCGCTAACCAGTTTCTTGGTGATCCGGCTCAAGCCTCGTGCCAAGATCATTGGATCTGGGATCGACACCCCGACATCTTCGGCTCGGCGAACCATCGAATCCACCTCCTCAAGGTCAACACAGCGCTCTGGATGTTGGAGCATTCGTAGGGAGACTCCAATGCTCCCAAAAAGCCAAGCCGCGTTGGTAGGCAATCATGCCCTTGGTGAGGGTGCCAAAGGCGCTCAAACTCTTCGATGTAACAACCTCTTCTAGGCACTGCAGCCAAAAGCAGGGCAGCAGCTCGCCTCTCAAGGCGACCCCATTTCTTCACCTGCAACGTGGCCTTGTGAGATAGCCTTTCCATCGGTGACTTCGGGATCTTCAGCTTCCATCTTTTGTGACCCCGTTTTCGGAGCCTCGAACTGAACTTCAGCAGCTTCGGCGGCATGGTCCTGCTCTGCACTGCCATTGCAATAGCGAACAGGCCCTCATCTTCTTTCGGAGCTGCAGGGAGTGCAAGTCGGCTGAGATCTGCACGCAACGCTTGGTTTTCAGGTCAGAGAGGACGAAGTTGTCCTTCAATGCGATCTTCTCGATCACGACGGACAGCGATCTCCTGGG